GAAGATGATGCGTTGGATTCGGAGGTTGGTGGGGTGGTACATGAGGACGAGGGTGATTCTGTTTTGGTTGTTATTGCGGGTAGGGAGTGTGAGGGATGAGTTGCAGGAAATGCGAGACACACGGTTGAGGGCATTTTCGACCACTGTGGAGGGGAAGTTGCGGTCCTTGAAAAACGAGGACATCTGGGATGTCCGGGAGTGGAATGCCTCATCTCGGGAGCAGATGCAGCGGAGGCGAAGGAATTGGGAATAGGGGATGGCATTTTTGCAGGAAGGTGGGTGAGAGCAGGTGTATTCTAGGTAGCTGTGGGAGTCGGTAGGCTTGAAATAGATATCAGTTTCCAGGTGGATGCTAGAGATGGAGACAGAGAGGTCCAGGAAGGCGAGAGACGTATCAGAGATGGTCCAGGTGAACTTAAGGTTGGGGTGGAAGGTGTTAGTGAAGTGGATGAACTGTTCGAGCTCCTCGTGGGAGCACGAGGCGGCGCCGATACATTCATCGATGTAGCGGAGGAAGAGGTGGGGGATAGGACCAGTGTAGCTTTGGAAGAGGGATTGTTCCACGTATCCTACAAAGAGGCAGGCATAGCTTGGGCCCATGCGGGTAACCATGGCCACACCCTTTGTCTGTAGGAAGTGGGAGGAATTGAAGGAGATCTAGCTTTTGATGGCTTTCCTCTACCTTGTGGGAATGTGTCTCGACTGTACACAAACCAATTCTTCTGAAAGCCTTCCACTTCTCCTTCACTATTTGATTTGCAAATCTTTGCAATCCACCCAGGCCAAATCCCTTTTCAACTCACCAATATTAGCTCTCTTCCAGTTCAACATACTTGCTTTCGACTTTCTTTTGTCCTTCTTCGTAAATACTCAAAATCTAAACTATATAAATGGTTTTGGTTGTAACAACGCAAGACAATAGGAATCAAAATAGGAGAAATTAAAGATATTTACGATACACGAGGAATTGTCAATAGCTGCAGGAGTGTGAAGTAGAGTGAGGTAGGGCAGGGAGAAATGAAACCATGCTAAACTGGCAATGCAGAGTACATTCAAACAGTTCAAGAAACCAGGAAGATGAAAAAGGCATAGGTAAAAAAACAAAAAGAAGTAGAGTGCAGACAGCAGTGATTCAGAGTGTTCACTCCAATGATAAACTCATCTCTCTCTTATGCAAAAAACTGAGTGAACCATCTGACACGACTGGCATTGTCTTCTGTCACAGACTGCCAGAGTCTACTCCCCTTTTTGTCTATGTCTGCCATATAAGTATACAGAGCGCATGCATGTGCGACGTTCTTTTTTTTGTAACTTGGTCAAGAACTGACAAAGGGTTACACCTAAAATGTTAACTTATCTGTTCTCTCCACAGATGCTGACTAACCTGCTGAGTATTTCCAGAAATTTATTGTACTTTGACTATTCCTCACATCAGACACATAGGACATTTTTGTCTCACTGGCGAAGGGGCATCATAAGATCTTTCTAGAAAAATCAGTAATCAAAATCTTAATATTTTCGTAGTAGTGAATAACTGAATTACTTATATACCATTACAATTGCTAGGAAAATGAGCAATCTTAAGTGTGATTTGCTGTTAATACATCTTGCTGAAGCCAATGAAGGGAAGCTACTTAGAAATTAAATCAACTTGTGATTCAGGTTTATATTGCACCCTTAACTATCCCTTCAAGAGTATATAACTGAATAGCATGTTCTAGAAAGAACTCTTTCTTAAAAAAAAACTTTAAATTACATAATGTTAATTATCTTCATCGATCTTAACCAGATGCATTTTAGAGAACTTGTTGGTATTTAATGTTCAGAGGATGAAGATGGTGGTGTGTGGCTTGAAAGTAGAACCCTCACCAAAGCCATTCAGGTGGAAGATGACTTTAATAAGCAGAAATGTTATTGAGGTTCTGTAAATGTACTCATCAAAAGATTATCACATTTTGAGCAGTGGAGGTTCTTTGAATCAGAATAACTTCTCTTCCCACACTCTAAAATCATCCGTTAAATCTGCTTGGAGACTAGCTGACTAAATTATAAGTCTTAGGCTTGTGAAAGGATGAAAAATTCTCATGATCTATTCTTGAGTCCTTTGGCTACAAATCTAGACAAAGGCATTTGCTGAGAATTATTCTGGGAAATAAATGTCAGGATTTCTATCATGTTTATCCAACCATGTGGAACCCCAAGCACAACTGAGGGCCTTGGGGTGCTCCTAAGCATCAGTATTCCACTCCTCAGAGTAACGGCAAAAGCTTGGAGGTTCATTCATTACTATTTCCAGGGAAATGTTGGAGGTGATCAGAATCACAGATATAGCAGGTTCTGGTATTAGCTGACATTTACTTGACAGTGGGGCAGAGTTTAACAGCCTGCTGCGCTCACTACTTTCCAGGTGTTAGCAGCTAATGATAACAAGGTGCCTCCAGTTTTCAAGTAGATTAAAAAAGTCACAAAGAGGCTCTTGTACTGCAGTGGTAATATCCATACCTCTGGTCCAGGAGGCCCAGATTCAAATTCAACTGATCCAGTAGTGTATCTTAACATCCCTAAGCAATTTGATTAGAAAGTATCTATAGAAAGTCAGTCACTGCAGCTAATGAAGATAAATTGCAACAAATTTTCTACGCCTTCATATTTGAGTTGTAAAATTCACCAAAATTTTTTCTTCCTAAATGTTGCTATATTATTTATACATATAAAACAGCACTTTCTCTTTAATGCTAGCTTTTCAGCCCTTTGTTTTTCGATATAAATGGGTATTTATGTATCACATGGATCATTTTGTGTTATTTATACGTTCTGCATCCTTGCTGTGAGGTATAAGTGACAGTGTACCTCGAACATCTGCTTGTGAAATTGTTTTTAAATTCTTCCAGTGAAAAACACCTTTTCTCATTAAAAATGTCTAATGAATGATGGTCAGCCGAGCAATTATGCTTCCCAAGTATTTAATTTAGACCTTATGTTGAATATCTTCTATTATTTGAGTGATAATATTTGGAACAATTAATTGAGTGGTTTGAAATTCACATTGTTCAAGCTATAGTCAAGTAATTCCAGATTACGTCAAAGTTGTGTGTTGTAGTCTAACCTTAAGCATGGCAATTCCTAAATGGTGGATCACAACTCTCAGTTGGGTTACCAGCTGAAATTTTGAGGTTGTCAGATCTGAGCCAGAACTGGTTGTCATGAAGCTCCAAACAAGTGCTAATAGTTATACGGTCCCTTTAATCTCTGTTTCTTTTAATTGTTGGTGTGGCCTAACTGGCCAAACCTCAAGGCTTGAATCCTGACCCAAGAAACCCAGTGTTACGGGTGGTTGCTTTTAACTTAAAAACTGTGGATGAAACAGTTCCCTCCTCCTCTGCTCTCATAGTTGTTGCAACCGCCTCACCTACATGCCCATTACTCCCAAATCTCACCCACATACCACATTGTCATAGCTCTCTCACCCTGCTCCCTACTCTCACTACTACCACTGTCACAGATCTCCCCACTATTGGAGGCCTCTTATCTATCCCCCTTCTGACATATTCGCATAGGTATGGATCAAGTCCATTTTCAAGCAGCAAAATAGTGTCAGAGCAGTAAAACATTGGAGAAGCACAGTATTAGTACCACTGAACATGTATGTCTGACATTACATACAGTCCTTAACTTTTTCACAATTACACATGCACAGATGTGATACCAAATTAAGTAAGCAGTATTCATTATCATTGCCTACTAAAATGCAGCGTCTCCAAGCCAAAGGGACTCTGAAAGGCAAAACCCATCATGATAACTATTCTGAATTGGTTCAACCATGAATAAGCTATAACTCTGGAAAATATTCCTTGACCACGCTTTCATTCATTGATCACTGATATAGGACTCCCAATAGAGTAGAAAGCTTGGCTGAAATGTCCCCTGTGCTGTAACAATTGATGATGTACTTTGAGTCTTAGGTGAAACCCTCACCCTCTTCCAGCTACACTGAACTGAATGTTCACTTCTGAGCTCTGATCATAGTCTGGATTTTTCAATGGTTTATTTGGTGATATCAGAAAGTTCTAGAAAAACAGGCAAAGCTATTTTCCTTAAATAGAAATTACATACAATTTTTTTTATTATTATGCATTGATGGGAATTGACCTAGCAGCTAGCTAGGTCCATCTCTAATTGCAGCCTTCTTGAACAGCTGCAATACAACTGAGTGGCTTACTAGTCCATTTCAGACAGCAGTTAAGGGTCAACAACATTGTTGTTAGTCTGGACTCACTTGCAAGCCAGACCAGGTAAGGATGGCAGTATCTGTCCCTAAAGGACATCAGTGAATGAGATGGATTTGTATCACAATTGACAGTGGTTTCAAGGTTACAATTGAGCTAACTTTTAAATTCCGGAATTGAATTCAAAGTTAACCATTTGCCATGAAGGGTTCAAGTCCATGCCCCTAGAATAGCAGCCTGAATCTTTGAATTACGAGTCAGCTAACAATGCCACGAACACTTCCATCTTCCCATAAACTGAAAGATTTAATGCAATCACTTCAACATTTAAATCATTATTTTGAACTCCAATACATATTTAATCAACTGCTCTTGTTCCCAGTAAAGACCCCAACCTATTAATTACTGTTTCAAATTTCCAAACTTAATTTCTGTCAAGTAAATGAGAAACTGTAGTCTGTATAACAATTAGTATACAGTTAATCTCATCAATATTAAATTCTTAAGAAGTGTGGATTTGAAAAAATAACGTTGCAACGTAGCTGATAATAAAAAGCTGTCAAGAATTCTTACAAGTCCCACATTATACTACTTGGGTTATTGCTTGTCATAATACAAATTTTCTAATATTTGGCATCATACAAGTGCTATGACTGGCATTGGATCAGAAGGATATTGGTCCAATATAACACGTCTGTGTCTTGCTTAGTAACAGAGGAGAGGGAAATAATGATAATAATAATAGTATAATGAAGTGTTCAAAAAAAATCTTACCATAGTTAAATTGACTATTGGACTTTTCACAGTTGATAATGTTGAATCGATAAGAAACAGCATTTCGCATTCCACTCACTTCGAAGTAAAACCACTGGTGGTGGTGATTACTGTTTATGTCAGAATTAAGGATGAGGTCATACTCAAACCTAGAAAAAGTAATTGGAATTCAGAAAGTCACAGATTAAATCGCAACAATGTCTACCTGCATAGCACCTCTGACATAAAAATGTACCAAGGAGTACATTTATATGACATGGAGCCAAATAAAGAGGTATTAAGATAGGTGGCCAAGAGTTTAGTGAAAGAGATAGGTTTAGCTTGGTGAGGGAAAGTGGGGTAACCAGGCAGCGAGTTTTAGGGAGGAAATTCTAAAGCTTGATGGACTATAAAAGCATAAATCTATAACAAACGATCATGCTGACTAACTTGATTGAATTTATTGATCTGCTAACAAGAAGAACTGACGAGGTTAGCAGGTTTGAAGAGGTTTCTAGGGATTTTAGCAAAATCTTTGACAAGGTCCCAACTTGAGAGATCAGTCAAGAAAATAAAAGTCCATGGGGTCCAAGGGAAAGTGGTAAGTTGGATCAAAAATATTTCTGTAGCAAGGAACAAAGGGGTTGAGGACTATTTTTGTGATTGGAAGGCTGTTTCCAGTGAGGATAAGCAGCATAGTGTTGCAGGTCCTTATATCTATAAATGAATGATTTTGACTTTTAATTTAGGAAGTATGATTTATAAGTACACATATAGTACAAAGATTGGTTGTGTGGTTAGAAAATGGAAACTTCAGTAAGGAGCTGAGACACACAAATATCAGGCCAAAAGTGAAGTAACTAGGATGAACAAAAGGTGACAGCAAGGCCAGACTCTGGAGAATGCAAATAATGTACGAAAACTGCTGGCATTTTAAATACATCTGCAATCAGAAGTGGGATTTGAAGTAGGGCCACATTTCTTAATACCTCTACCATAGTCATGGCAGACCCCAGTGTCAATCTCATAGTAACCCAATAATTTAGGAGCAATGATTTAACAGAAAGCTCATCTTAAGTGGGCAAAAGAAGTAAAGCAATAATTTTGGCCAACAAACCGTACATCCCAAGAACAAGTTTTGAACAACTGCTGATTAGAAATGCTGTTAGAGAATTGTAGAAGCATAAAATATCAACTTAAAAATGTCACTGGAAAATTTTGTGAACCTGATGTGCACATCATGCACCCAATGAATGTATTGCTTGTGGAAGAAAAACTGGTGAAAAGTTTACATGGGCTCTCAACAGAAGAAACACTCATTGTAAAGCAGCCGAGTCAAAGTATTTTTCTGGAGCAAGGTTATCTATCCTATCTACAGAGGGGGTGGCACACTTCAATATTTTTCCCAATTGAGGAACCAGTGAGCAAATTTCAGAAAGAGAAGGTTTTTGACAACGGTAAACATAAATTTCAGTAGAAGAAAATTGCAAAGCAATAAATTAGGTACATAAGTATTGTTTAAAAAATACCTGTTAAACTATTAAAAATTATATCAGTTAATTGTTTAAATGTTAACAAGTACGTATAAAATTTATTTAGTTTACCAAATAAGAGCGAGCAAACAAAAAAAAGTGCATTTGCTTCTAAGAATAAACCGGGGTTTCTTGCTTTTCAGGCAGCGACAAACTTATAGTCAATGACTGATCACTTCACCTAATTCACAGCTATTGGAACTAAGTGTCAATTAAGTCTGTCAAGATTGTTGCATCTGACATGACACTGCTATATCATGTTGATAGTGATGTTCCTTCCATTCAATGTCCTCAACTTTTGCCTCAAAAGGCTACTGCCATTCTCTTAGCTCTTCAGCATCCATCACACCTTCTGTTTGCCTTGCGTGGAATATAGCATGCCAGGTCTACGCAGCACACTGTCTCAAGTGTGCTACAAAGTTCCCTAGACTGATTCAAGCATTGGAACTTCATCTTCAGGAGGCCTAGACGGTTTGCTTCATGACGGCCCCTATGGAAGAAATGTATCTACATTTGGCTTCCCGCAAGGGGTTCCATGACAGAGTCATCAACCACGTTACAGAGGGTAGCCCTGGTCTACTAGCAGCCAAAGCAAAAACAGAAGTTGCTGGAAATGCTCAACAGGTCTGGCAGTACCTGTGGAGAGAAATCAGAGTTAGCGTTTGGGGTTTGGTGACCCTTCTCTTCACAGATGCTACCAGACCTGCGGAGCTTTTCCAGCAATTTCTGTTTTTGTTTCTGGTTTTCAGCCTCTGCAGTTCTTTTGGTTTCTATTAGCAGCCATCCGTGTTAGGCATCTGGCCCTTGACATGAAGCAGAAACCTGACACTTCTCAAGGATATAGACAGCTTCCAGGATAATTGACGCAGACCTCCAAGATATGGCACGAATGATCACAGATGTTATGGACCAGACCACACCCCCTCAAAATATTTTCAGAAGGTAGCCTGGACCCTAACATTTTCTTATTTTACAGATAAATGTGAAGTGCATGTTCCAGATGTGATGTTTCAATGTTAAGCAAAACACAATTTATTTAAATACTCTGGTTAAAATACAAACAAAAGAAAGAGGAATTTAGAATAACTTAACTATTGGTAAACTTAACTGAATAATAAACACTGTACCTATACTAATTAACTGTTCCAATATAGTAACATCTCATAAGCACCATCCCTTGGCAAAAAGATAAATTCAGATGCGGATTCTTACACGCAGTTTTCCATTCCAGGAGGAAACAACAACAACCGAGATTTCAGAGAAAGTAGCAGCTAGGAATCGTTCACTGAAGCTCCAACTCTTTTGGGACCCAAACAGCTTCTGACTGCTAAAGCTAAAAAAAATTGGAAAGCCTGGTCTGTGAGAACTGGCCACTCCCCTTCCATTGTTACAACAGTTTACAAAAATTTAAAAAATCATTAAAGGCCTCCTAAGTTATTTACTTGAGCTGTTTTCAGTAGCCAGTTCAGTACCTCAGCCTTTACAACCTCTCTTCAAAAAAACCCACGATAAAATAACCTTTTTAAAGTGACATCATCATTACACCTCCCCCTTAAAAAAAAGAACCATCAATATACAAAGAAGGCTTCATGTTAAAACCCTTAGTCGTACTCTTAGTACACTACAATGCATATAAATTACATTGACTCTAAGCATGCAAACATTCACTACTACATTCTATTTCAGTCCATTTACTCCCACCACTGAATGCCTCTGTCTTTCTTCAAAGTCATGACAATGCATCGACAATTATGTTTTCTCAACCTGCCACGTGTATAATTTTCATTTTGAATGACTGTTTAGCTGAAGCTTATTATTACAGTCAGGAATTTTCTGTCCTTAAATTTCTCCAAAAACTTTAATGGGTTATGATCAGTATGTACAATTGTCTCAGTCACATTACTGGAAAATATATGTTGAAATGTTCTAATGCTAACACCAAGCTCAAGATTTCCTTCTCAATTGTGGAATAGTTCTGTTGATGAATATTCGATTTTCAGGAAAAATACTCAATAGGTCTTTCTATCTTCTCGTTGTCTTCTTCTATGAGTGCAGCACCCACACCCACATCACTCACATCAATAGCCACCTTGAATGGCTTTGTGTAATTAGGGTGTGGCTAACAGTGGGGCAGTGGTTAACGTAGCTTTCAGGCTGTCAAATGCCACCTGACAGTTACTGAAATCTTCTGCGCTTTTTCACTAACCACATTGCTTGAATTTGACTTCCGATAAAACCCACTCAATGCCAGGAATCATGGTACTGCTCCCTTCGTCAATGGTATTGGAAACACCCTAATAACTTTTGTTTTCATGTTCTGTGGGGCCATCATCCATGTCTGATAATATGGCCCAGGACTGTGATTTGGCTTTTGTAAATTTACTCTTAGTCGGGTTGATCACCAATCCTGCCTCTCGAAGTCGATCGAACAATTTCAATAAATGTTGTAAATGTTCCTTCCAACACTTGCTCAAATGAAATGAAAAAGGCTTCTACATTCTTCTTGTTAAATTTAGGCACTGCTTGGACATGTTTAAACAGATCCCCACCAGGCTTTTGCTTACAATGGGTGTGCTCGATATCCTCCTCACTAAGCCTACCTTCTCCCTTCATCTCCATCCTTTTAAGTTGACTTTCCTCTCTAATTGCCAACTTCTGAAGTTCTGAACCTCAAGTACTGCTTGTTCAAACATGTGCTAACAATGCCTGCAATGCGTATCAAGTTACTTGCTTTCAAACCTGCAGGCACTAAAAACAATTCTCTCTCATTTCAGTTCATTTAAAAACACAAAAATAAAATCACATGGTCATCATCTTCCTTCCTGTCAATTGCCAGCCAGTGCTTTCCATCATACAACTGTTATCATAGTCACAAATATCACATTGTTGTTAATGCCATTTAGAGTTATAGTCCCAGATTTTTATGGTACTGGGGGTCTCTGCACAACTTTAAAAAAGGTGAACAGACCTGGATATTCAAATCCAAAATGCATTGCTGACTGATCCTATTTTTGCAGCAAGGAGAAAGAGGGCAGGTTATGACTCTCACAGGGGGAACCTGAACGCAGCAGGGCCATTTGAACTCAGAGCCGTGTTCTAACAGATCACATTTTTGGTGCAGCAAAAGCTAGTGTGAGTGTCACAAACTTTTAGAGCAAACATAAATGCTCTTGAAAGATGGCTAGGGTCTGTAGAACTCTGCATGATTTGAAGTGACTTGAATCACCAACATATTAAAAATTACAGAAAAAGAACATGTTGTTGCACACAAAATACAATAAATTATGCAAACTTCGGGAAATTTCAGAGGATAAGTGATAGTTTTTTAAAGGAATACATATATGCTGTCAACCTTACTTTCTGATCTGAATGGCTTTTCGAAGATTTCCAGATTCAAATTGTGAGTTGAATCTTAATGTTTCTCCATCTTCTGGTACTGGATAGCTAAGTGAGACAAGGATATAAAAATGGATTGAATACATATTTGAGGCAACACTGTACATCAACGTTAGACTGTTGAACTAAAATTGACAACAGACAGAAAACTCACCTAAGAAAATCAAGATCATATACAATTTTGTCAATAATGTCATTTGCATGGATCAGTCTCTCAATATCTTGGAATATTTTTGCTCTGTAATAGAAGAAAATGTTCATTGAATACACAGTAAATTGTAGTGAAGAACGATGAAACTTTTTTTTAACAAAGTTGCATGGTGCTGACATTAAGCTAGCTATTCCATAAACCTAAGACAGTAAAGAAAGTAAAATTTTATAGAGTATCTACTGAATATTTTGAAAGAAAAACACACAAATCAAATTTACTGGTGTTATATGAAGTGTAAATAGTAGACTAGAACCCTATACTTAGTGGAATAACTAAAATAATTGATAACAAAAAATAGTGGGTTCTGTATTACAATTTCATTCTGCAAACATTATATACATGTATTTTAAGGCTCATGCAATGTTATAACATTGTATATTTATTCCTATTATTTTCGGATTTGAATGTCAAGACGTTTTAGTATGTCAATGCATCACAAATCATCTTTTAAGATGAGTATTCATAAGGTACTGAAAAATATTTTCTACACTTTCCATGCTAAAAAACATATCAGGTAAGTGTACAAAAATTCAGTAAGATGTAATTTTACATGCGGTTAGTGAAAATATGAATCCACTTTCCTTACTTTTATGGCGTTGCCTCTATCTTTCATTGAAATTTCTCAATTTTTGTGTGTTGGAACATCACCATCCTACTCACCTTTGTACACCATAGGGTCTTTCTATAAGATGTTCCTTGAATGGAGGTGGAATGTGTCCAAAATAATCAGGATATGCTACTTCATTGTATTCAGGTACAGATTTAGTCTTTTTAACAATTTCAACATAAAGGTCAGAGTCATGAAGTGGTTGCAAGACACCTGGCTCCGGTAATTCAGAAATTCCTGGCTCTTCAGAACTTACAGAGGACTCATCCTCTGCATCAGTGTCAATGCCAGAACAGCACAACTGACCCAGTTGAGAACCAACCTGTTGCCAAGATGGAGGCTGGCCAAATGATGAAACAAATAATGACTTTCCACAACCAGAGAGCTGTTGACAAGTTTTGCTGCAGGTATCCCCCAGTGTCAAAAAGCTGGGCTTATTCTCAACTCCACTCACATGTCTCGAGTTCCAACACTTAACATCATTAGAAGGATTTTTACAGTGCAAGGACATACCATCCAAGCCCTTTGCAATTTCACTGTTCAAGCATTGTGTAGTAGTATGGCCATTTTGTTTAGAATACTGCGAGTTCACACTATTTTTACTTTGCTCTTTACTTTGCAAATCTGTAAGAATTGGTAGCTTATGATCCTGCGCAACTCTGTGATAAACAGTAGGTAGAATCTGCTGGCTTTCCGGCGTATCACTTTCTTTAACAGAAACTTTAATCACTTTTCTTTTTGATAGCAGCTCTTCTCCTGCTGTAGGCACAATAATGGGTCCCGGCTGCTGAATATCAGCCTTTGATACACTGGCATGGTCTTTTCCAGAAAGGTTATATGTCTGGAATAAAGGAAGTAGAAAACAAACTAAAAATAAATATTATGGTCAGGACTTGGACATCTTTATCAATATAAAATTCCAGACCATACTAGAATAATGTTTGGGGCAAGGTGTTCTTAAAACTACTTTAGTTCACTATTTTACTTTATATATACATAATCAAAACATTAATTGCTGTATACCCAGATTTATGACTCTTTGTCATAAATACAAGAAGCCAGCCTCAAGTTTAGAGTTAGTTGGAGTAGGCAGCACTTGAAAAGTTTTTTGAAGAGTATTTTGCTCATTTCAGAGTTCAACCTGGATAAATATTTACATCATGGAAGATATATCAATTCGTTGCTCAGACTGTTGCAAATTTACTCTTCCTTCCTCATCTCTTGAAGACAACAAGCCCCTGCTGGAATATAGTTCCATTGGTGCTACGCGCACTGCTGCCATGGAGAGGGAAGAGGTTGTTGAAAGTGATCGAGGAGAGGACTTGGATGTCACAAAAGCGAACAGACCATTTCAGGTGACAGAAGTGATGGAGGATGATTCTCTATTGAAAGCAAAGGTTGGTGGGATAGTTGGTGAGGACAAGGGCAACCCTATCCTAGGAGCGTGTTGAAGGTGTGAGAACAGAAGTGTGAGAAACATAGAAGACAGGAGCAGAAGTAGGCCATTCAACATGATCGCAATTGACTATTCAGCCCCATACCCCAATCCTGCCCCCCACTTTCCTTGATCCCTTTAGCCACCTCTTTTTTTGAAAACACAGAATGTTTTGGCCTCAGTCACGCTCTGTTGTAGGGAGGGAATTTCACAGGCTCACTACTGGGTGAAGCAATTACTTAACTTAGTCCTTAAACTATACTCCTTGGTACTGGATTCCCCAACCATTGGGACTATCCTTCCTGCGTTTAACCTGTCTCGTCCTGTTAGAATTTTAAAGGTTTTTATGAGAACAACCCCTCGTTCTTTTAAACTTCAGTGAATGTAATACCAACCAACCCAATCTCAGGAGCAGTCCCATGAATTCCATAAAATAGAATGGTGGTTGCAAATCATGCTCCTGAGAAGGGAAGGATATATAGTGAACAAGGCTACCTTAGAATGAGGAGACAATGTTAATCCCAGCACAGAAGTATTGGGATAAAACCATGAAGAAATTACTTAGAGATGAGTACATTTAAGCTCAAGAGTAGGAAAGCTCCGGGCAGATAGTACCTATAGTTCTAATCTAAAAGCTCAAGTCACAAGTAGCTTAAACCTAATAAGACATTAGATACAGGGACTCTGGTGTGAAAGCATGAAGTGTTTTTTTAAGTATTGTACCAGGAGTGTGTTGGAGGTAGTACACAAAAGTTGTTGTTTTCTTCAAATTTATAAAGGAGTATTTTGGGATTAATGGGATACTACTTTTAATACATGTTTAAAAATCTTTCAATTTGTAATATAAGTAAACAGTTTGATTTATTCTATTTCATCTTAATTTCTTTTGTTGATAAACTTCTATTCTACCGTTAAAGCAAATTTGCAGCAAGTGTGTCCATGTTTCAGTGAGAGACCACATCATTAAAACAAATCAAAACATAATCAAAAATATAATCGATCAAGCCAGGTTCCTATCTGGGATCAGACTTTTCTGGTAATAGGATCAGCTGAAATCATAGCAATCCTTTTAAACAAGACATTTTTGTTCTTCCAGGTCTTTGAGATAGTGAAGTAGAAGGAGAAAAAACAGATTTAAAGGCGAGAAAAGTATAAACAAAGAGATATTCTCTCTAACATGGACAGTAAATAAAGCTTAATACTTGGCTTTACATTTGTAATCACTCCATCAAAACCAGTTAATAAGTAGAATCTGCAGAAACCGAAACCTCTTCACGTTATATTCACTGGCATTCTGAAATACCCTAAAACCTTGTTGACCAGAAGCATAGTGAAATAATAGAGTTTTGGTCTTATCTGAGAAAAGATGTTCTGGCTATGGAGGGAATGCAACAGAGGTTTACCAGACTGATTCCTCGGACGGCATGTCTGATGACAAGGTAAAGGCAGGAATGATGTTAGTGATGACCAGGGAGTGCAGATTTGGGGTGACAGTCTACGGATACAGGATAGGCCATTTAGGACTGAGGTGAGGAGAAATTTCTTCATCCACAGAGTGGTGAGCCTGTGAAATTCTCTGTTTTGGAAGCAGTTGAGGCCAAATCACTGAATGTTTTCAAGAAGGACTTATATATGGAGGGTATGGGAAGAAAGTAGAAATGGGGTACTCAGTTGGATGATCAGCAATGATCATACTGAATGGCAGAGAAGGCCCAAAGGGCCAAATGGCCTACTCCTATTTTGTTTGTTGCTGTACTCAATAACCACAGGTCCCAATTTGTGCATTTTATGCATCCCCATTAGAGAAGTCATGCACCATTATAGGACGTGGCAAACAAGGCAAGGGAATACATGATCAATGGTGGGGCCTGGGAAGCACCAACGATCAGAGGGCCCTTGGTGTGCTTTACACTGGTCCTTTAAGGTATCAGAACAGGTGGATAAAGTGATTATGGTGTTAAAGGTATACTTGCCCTTATTAGTCAAGGTATAGAGTTGAAGAGTAGGAAGGTTATGCAGGAACTGTACGAAATGTTGGTTAGGCCACAGCTACAGTATTGCATGCAGTTCTGGATTTCACATTATAGAAGGGATGTGACAGCACTGAAGAGGATACAGAAGAGACTTACCAGGATGTTGCCTTTGCTGAAGCATTTCAATTATGAACAGAAATTGGGCAGATTGCAGTTGTTTTCCTCAAAACAGAGACAACTGAAAGGGGACATGATGGAGATGTATAAAATTATGAGGGGCATAGAAGTGGTAGACAAGCAGAAACATTGGAGGGATTGGTGACCAGGTAGCATAGATTTAAGCCAAGGGGCAGAAATTTTAGAGGAGATGTAAGGAAAAATGTTTTGACTCAGAGGATGGTGGGACTCTCATATTCACTGCCTACAAGGGTGGCAAAGGCAGAAACCCTGATGTATTTCAATGCCAAGGTGTACAAGGCTATGGCCAACTGCTGGATAACGGGATTAAAATAGTTTGGTGGCTGTTTTTGACCAGGTGAATGTGAGGAGAAAGAGAACCTTATTCTGTGCTGAAGATCTCTATGACTCCAACCAATATTTTGTTGCGTATATAATTTTTTTGAGTTATTTTCATTTAATTAATTCACCTCAAATCCCTCAGCATGTTAGTTATAGCCAGATGTGCTCAGAGTTAAATATATTGCTTCTTATTTATCACATCATAGTTTCTAATTTTGGTTTCAGAACTAGTGTCTTGTGTCTGTGTTTGGATGAAAGTTGCAACAAATTGAAACTGATCACTAGTGAGTGATATACTGCTAAGTGCTATTTAAGAGAAACGTAGATGACTCCTTCCATCATCTTTGGATGACTGGGAGTATGCTCATAAGATAGTACTTGCCCAGATTTGATTTGCCCTGCCTTTTACAGACAATACGAGCAATTTTCCACATTATCCAGTAGGTGCTAATAATCCACTGCAATGGAACAGTTAGCTAGGAAATTGGCTAGTTTTGGAGCACAGACCTCTATGACACATATAGGACGGCATCAGGGTCTGTGATCTTAGTTATGTCCAATGTTTTAAGAGATAGGGGAGACTGGCTAGTCAACTGTTGTCAAATTTAGCTCTTTCTTTTCTTTTGTTGAGATATTTTGACTGCCATACCAGAGTCACAAATCTCATTCAGCAGACAGGCAGACCAATGAAAATGTGCCACATTCACCAAATGGTAGCAGCCAGATCTGGTAGCAAATTCAGTCAGTTTACATTACATTGCTACCAATGGTGAGAGAAATATGCATCAGGAACCAGCAATACAGTTGGTCACTGATATTAATATAATGTTATTTTATATGCCTGAGTCAGGTACTCATGAACTCTTGAAATGTGTGTCCCAAAATAGCTGAAAAAGTAAAATAGATATGGTTTACTAAAAACAGCTCATGAGACCTGTTAAAATGGACCATTTGACTTTTTTCAGTTACGTTTGGCAGCTTTACCCTTCGTTTATACCATCCATGTGAAACCAAAGTTTCAAGACTTGAAACAGTAGTGTAGATTTTCACACAGCGTACAATAAAGCAATTCAAAAGGCTGAATACCAGCATGAACAGTTACATCAATGTGCATGTCTATTCAAACATTCCTCAGTATTGGAATCATCCCTGTTGACTTTTCATGTCTATCTTACCTCATTTATTGTAGAACACAGTACAGCACAATTTTACTGAACAGATTTTACAGATATAGAACTAGGTTTTGACAACACCAAGGGGAGAGCAAGCAAAGGCTAAAATATGCAATGCTGCTCGATTCTGAAGCATTTCATATAGAAGTGTACAAAGCAGAACGGATTTTCTTTTTACCTTACCTGAAAGTCTTCTGTAAGCTCTGGGAAAAACTGTTTGTATACTTCCAGTTCTTCTATTGGTCGCCCCAATTCGTGAACGGGCTTTAACTTGTTAATATCAGTTTCAATATCATCATTCTGCATGAGTGAAAACTTTATTTTAAAACATTTTATTGTTTCTTTATCAGAACTCCAACATCACTGAAAATGTTTTTATCGTTAGAATGGAACATTATTAATTTTGTGTTGATTATCAACTCCTTCCCATATTTGTCAGTATAATTCTATTTCCTAAGTGTGGAAATTTTTACTAAACATATTACATTTTTTTAAAAACATACTCTGAGTAGTTAAAACAAAATGTTTCATAACTTATACACAAGATTTCAAATTTTACAAATAGCACTTAAAGCCTGTGATTAGAATCAACCACGGACAAAATCAAGTTCCAGATGAATGCGAGCCATGGATGCACTTCAGACCTGTCCAAACTGCCCCTTACAATTTTAATTAACACAAAATTTTGCTACTACCTTCAAAATAAAGACAAAGTTGTCACGAACAATACAGATAATAAGTTGAAATATATTGAGATTTTCTTTTAAATAGTAATCAAAAATTCTGTTTTTACATAATTATCTAGTATGAGGCAGCACCTTGGCTCAGTGGTTAGCACTGCCACCTCACAGTGCCAGGGACCCGGGTTCAATTCCACCCTCAGGTGACTGTCTGTGAACAGTTTGCACATTCTTTCCGTGTCTGTATGGATTTCCTCCGGGTGCTCTAGTTTCCACACAGTCCAAAAAATGTGCAGCTTAGGTCGACTGGACATGCTAAATTGCCCATAGTGTCCAGGGATGTGCAGGCTAGGTGGATTAGCCATGGAAAATACAAGAACAGGATGGGTCTGGGTGGGATGATCCTTGGAGGGTTGGTCTGGGCTTAATGGCCAGCTTCCACGCTGTGGGATTCTATTATCGAGTGAATCCAGAAACCCTATTTCAGTCTGGACTTGGTCACATAAGAAATGAAAAGGGATACGAGTGCCCTGCGTGCATCGTGGAATATTCATAGTGGCCAGAACTGAACAATTTAAACTAGACATTCTCATAATCGACTTCTGCTAATCAAAGTTACGGACCAAAGTGTTTTGGTGTCCAAGGATTTAGCAATTCTGTGAAATTTATATTGCGCTAATAAGCTTTTCAATGGAATCAAGAAGTGAAGATCAGAAGCAGGCCTAGAAGTTTTAAGGATTAACAACGACATTTCAGATAATCAGCAGGTTAAGATGGAAGAAAATTAGAAAATGTATTAGGAAAAACAAAGTTACACAAAATGGGTCAGGGCCAGGAAACTATTGCAAGCTTTGACCTATGAAGAAATCACGGATTGGGTAACTGGCCGCTTCAAAAAATTTCAGGGACAGTCAGCATGGATTCAAGAAGGGTACACCACACCAAATAAACCTCAGTTTTTTGAGGAGTTAATAAATATGGTGGTCAGAGGCAAGTCAAAGAATGTTCTTTATGTGGACTTTCAGAAGGCATTTGATAAAGTCTCACACAAGAAGGTTAGATAAGTGGAAGCCCACTTGGATTGAGGCAAATTACTGACATGGATAGGAAATTGGTTGAGTGGCAGGAAACAGAGAGTTGGAATAATGGCAAGTACTCAAATTGGCCGATGTGACAAATGGTGCCCTTCAGGGTCTATGCTCGGGCCTCAATTATTCACAATATTCATTAACGACTTGGATAATGGCATAAAAAGTCAAATGTCTGAATTTGCTGACGACACAAAATTGGGCAGCATTATAGACAGTGTTAATGACAGTATAAAATTACAACAGAATATTGATGGATTAGGTGAATGGGCAAAGCTGTGGCAGATGGATTTTAATATAAGCAAGTATGAGGTTATCCATTTTGGACTGCAAAGGGAAAAGAAACAAGTTTTTGTTTAGAAGGAACAAAGTTAATTACAGTAGATGTCTGACAAGACTTGGGGGCTCAGGTGCATAATTCTTTAAAACGCCTCATAAAGTGCAGAAAATGGTCAAGGTGGCTAATGGAATGCTGGCCTTCATATCTAAATGGCTGGAGTATAAAAATGCAGAAACCTGAATTAGATCCCACTTCAGGTACTGTGAGCAGATCCATGCACCACACTTTAGGAAGGACATTTTCACCCTGGAGGGAGTTCCATGTAAATTTACAAGGATAAAATCAGGACTTCAGGGGTTAAGTAATGAGTTCAGGTTAGACAAATTAGGCCTTTATTCTCGAGAATTTAGAAGATTAAGGAGTCATCTAACTGAGGTTTTCAGGATATTAACAGGGAAAGGCAGGGTAGGTAAACTATTTCCACTGCTGAAAATTCTAGGACCGGGAACATAGTCCAATAATTAGGGCCAGGCAATTCAGGAGAGATGTTAGAAAGCATTTCTACATGTAAAGGGTCATGAAGATTTAGAGCTCTCTTCCTCAAACAGCCATCAATTGTTAAATTTGAGATAGACAAACTTATATTAAGGAAGGGTATCGAGGGTTATGGACCCAAGGCAGGCAAATGAATTTAGGTAACAGATCAGCCTTGATCCTAGTGAATGGCAAAGCAGGTTCAAGGGGCTGAATGGCGTACTTCAGTTCCTAAGTTCCTACATTGTCACCTCACAGTCTAAGGGTACGTAGGGAGACAAGGAATGGGTGACCACCAGACAGTTTAAAAAAAAACACAGGCAAGTAGTGTAGGAGTCCTCTGAGTTCATCTCACTTTCTAACCAGAATGGAGATAAAGACTGATTAAAGGTAATGGGTCATCTAGGCGGTGTAGCCAAATCGAGTCCATAACACCAAAGGTGGCCTAGCTATACAGTGAGATACAAGAAAGACTGATAGAACAATAATTCTTGGGGATTATATGCTTAGGGCATCTGACAGATGTTTGTGCAGACATTGATGTGAACCAAGAATGGTATCTTACATCTCTGGTGCAAGAGTCAAGGGGGTCATTAAGTGGCAGCAGAACATTCTGTAGGGGGAGGCTAAACAGCCAGAAGTCATGGTCCTTATAGTTAACAATGACAGACGTAGAAAAAAGGATTACATCCTGTGGGTAGTGTTTGAGTAGTTAGAAAAGTTATTAAAAAGTAGGACTTCAAAAGTAGTAATTTCCAGACTACTGCCAGGGAGATGGTAGCTGAGTGTTAATTTCACTGGCCTAGCAATGCAGACCTCCCAGGGTAGTGTTCTGGAGACACGGGTTTGAGTCACACATGGCACTTAATCTTCTGGACAAAGCATCTGACAAGGTCCCTCAAGGTAGGCTGGTCCAGAAGATTAAGTCACATGGAATCCATAGTGAGTCGGCAAGTTGGATACAAAATTGGCTTGGTCATAGAAGACTGAGGGTAGTTGTGGAGGGGTGTTTTTCTGACTGGTGATCTGTGACCAAACGGTGTTCCATAAGGCTCAATGCTGGGACGTCTGTTGCTTGCAATAGATATAAATGATTTGGATCAAAATGCACATTGTTTGATGAGTAAGTTTACAGACAACATGAAAGTTGGTGGAGTTGTGGATAGTGAAGGTTACCAGAGGAGACTGCACGATGTAGATCAATGAAAAGTTGGGCAGAGAAACTGCAGATGGTGTTTAATCCGGACAAATGTGAGGTGATACATTTTAGGAGGTCAAATGCAAGATGAGAGTATACACTAAATAGCAGGACCCTTAGGAGCACTGATATACGGAGGGATCTTGGAGTCCAAGTCCCTATCTCCCTTAAAGTGGCAACACAAGTGGATAAGATGATAAAGGGGCTTGAAATGCTTGCCTTCAACAGTCGGGGCACTGAATACAAAAGTTGGCAAGTCATGTTGCAGTTGAATAAAACTTTAGTTAGGCCACATTTGCAGTTTTATGTGCAGTTCTGGCTGCGATACTGTAGGAAGGATGTGGAGGCTTTGGAGAGGGGCAAAAGAGGTTTACCCAGATCCTGTCTGAATTGGAGTATATTAACTATAAAGAGAGGTTGGACAAACTTGGATTGCTTTCAAAACAGCATTGGAAGCTGAGGGGCAACCTGAAGTATATAAATTTATGAGAGGCAATAGATAGGATGGATAGTCAGTCTTTTTCCCAGGGTGGAAATGTCAAATACTAGGGACAAAAGTTTAAAGGAAATATGGGAGGAAAGTTTTTTTTTAACATGAGGACAGTAAGTGCCTGGAACACACTGCCAGATGAGGCGTAGAAGCAGATACATTGTCAAAGTTTAAGAGGCATTTAGACAGAGACATGGACAGGAAGGGAATAGAGGGAAATGGACCATAAGCAGGCAGATGGGATCAGTTTAGGTCAGCACAGACATGGTGGGCCTAAGGGCCTATTCCTGAGCTGTACTGGTCAACGTTCTATTTTCTTTTAAAAAGCAAGCCTAATAGTTACCTTGAACCAATGCTGATTGTCACAAAAATCCATCTGGTTCACTAATGATCTGGCTTACATGTGACTCCAGACATGATACAATCTGGTTGACTGTATGCTGCCTTCGGATACCTTTTCTTCACAAAAGAGGGGAATGATGCAGGCATTGTAGCTGAAGAAGAATGTGAAACATTCAATCTGATCAAGATATGGAGATAGGAAGTATTGAGGGAATTAGCATTTTTAAAATGGATTAATCACAAGGGCTGGATGAAATGTTCCTCAAGCTTTTGAAAGAAGCCAGGGAGGAAATAGCAGGTGCACTGACCGTCATTCTCTTATCCTTACTGGATGCATATGTGATGCAGAAGGACGGGAGGACTGCTAAAATAATTGCTTTCTTCATAAACAGAGCAGGAGATAGAACGATCACAGGCCACTCAATGTAACCTTAGTGGTAGGTAAACATTTGGAATCAATTCTGAGAGATAGGATAAACTGTCGTTTAGAAAGACAGGGATTAATCAAGGACAGTCAGCATGGATTTTTTTAAGTGAAGATTGAAACTGACTAACATTTTTCAGGCCGATGCAAGAAGATCGATGAGGGAGGCTGGGTGATGTGGTCTACAGGAATTTTAGGAAGGATGAAGTTCCACATGTCAAAATAAATGAAAGCTCATGGGACTCAAAGGAATGTAGTAAGCTGGATAAA